CTCCCCTCCACCCCCTCCCCCTCCTCCCTCCACCTCTCTAAGTGGTTCACATAATACTTCAACGGTCCCAGCCTCATGAGTATGCTTTCCTTAATTTCCTTGTCTGAAAATGAATATTTTACCAAGGGAAATTTGACAACATTCGATTGGCCTTACGGCGTTTCTCCTTAGCACAGCGAAGTTCATCATCCTTACTCATAATCATCGAGGAGTATTCGAATGAGCTCTAGTGGCACGCGTAATTTCCCTCGGATTAGCCCGCTTATCGGTAGCGAAATCTTTCATCCATCTCCAAGGACCGACTCAAACGTTTATAAAATCGCCGGCGACGGAGCAATAAATTCGGTGCTTTGTTCGAAACGAGTTCTCAACCAGGGAAATCGCAATTCCACCGGAGGAATCCAGTTCTGCAAGTGCAGTTGCTCCGGTTCTGTTTTAATAATCCATATTTTAAGCGAGACCTTGCTCATCCCGCCGCGTCCACGCGTAAAGTTCGCGTAGTGGATCTCAGCGTCGTAAAACGCCCACGCCAATCTCTGGCTGGGCAGTTGCTGTTGCAGCCCTCGCAAGTTTGTAACTTTGCATTTAATTCATTTGAATTTACGTTAATCAATCGATTTTTAATAGCATCTAGAATCGATTGTATTCAATGGATTTAAATGGAAGAAAAATACCGTTACTAAGTTGCATAAGGAATTGTATATGCTCTGTTATCGCTGTACGCTCTTATTGTCACATGCCTACGGCTCATGAGTGTCACATTTAGGTGCAGGGCCGGATTAAGGGGGTGGCCACTTGGGCCGTGGCCCATGGCGGCAAATTTTGCAATTTTTTTAAGTGTAGGTATAAATAAATCGGATTCAGAAAGAAAAATTATCAATGAGAAAAGGGGACAAAATCTATCTTTCCTGAGAGTATAGTAATTTCTACTTTTGTCGTTTTTCGATGATACAAGAGACAGTATCTTTAATTAGTCGAGTTAAGAGAGGAACTAAACACGCAATTTGGCCTGGAAGTTAGCGCTGAGAGGAATGATTACGAGGACTTGAGGTGAAAAGAAGAAGCCCTCGGCGCGGCGGTCGGTATCTAACGCATATTAGCGCCTACAAGACTGCATGAATACTTCACCCATTGCGCCAAACACAGTGCGGTCAGGAGCGGTTGGCGTGAAACGTATAGCGCCTACAAGAATGCATGAATACTTCACGCATTGCGCCAAACACAGAGCGGTCAGCGTGAAACGCATGGCGCCTACAAGACTGCGTGAACACTTCACGCATTGCGCCAAACAGTGCTATCAGCGCGGCGCAGCGGCGGAAGTTAAAATTGTTATACCACATTTATGTTTGTTCTTTCATAATTTTTTGGATCATTTCCTCTAAATGGAGGAGTCATTTTTCCGTGCAATTTTGCTAGTAGTGTTGACAGGGATTTCGCACAAAATGTATCCAACACGAGTTGGTAAACGCGTCTTATGCACCCCTCCGCCTCCTCCTCCGGCACGTTCACTTGATGGTTTTTATTGATATTTCAAAACGAATGAGAAAGGGACGGCAAAATACAGACGGCCCTGTTTAGGTGGCACATAATTCCGTTTGACAGAATGTAAAATCCCGCTTTTCCATTTCTCCAAAGGGAATCATGCCCACTTTTACATTGTCTCCTATCCACCTTTCACCCCGTGCACCCGCGATCTTTCCCACTCGTCTCTAGTTCCGTTTGGCAGAAATACGTCCAAGTAGCAAGAACCGGAGAGGTTACAGGGATGATGCGGGACTTCTGGATATGCATATATATAACGCCGCTTTTATAGGGCTCTCTGGGACACCTAGCTGCCTGAGTCCCCTATCCTCCCAAAGCCATTCAGGGAGTTGCAATACCTTCATTTCTTCTCATGGCGTAATGAGACTAAGTCTGTCCTTGCGCAGATCCCTCCGCCCGCGCGGCTGCACAGCCGCCCCTCGCCCATCGGAGTTTTGCCGTGACGTCAGCAGGAGCCCAATCGAGATAACCTCCCGCTCCCCGCCCTCCCCGGGAAAGCCTATACCGTTTTCAAACTTCCCGCTCGAAGGGGCTCCTGCTGACGTCATGCGCAGTAGAGGTCTTATTTTCGTTTTCGGAAGGACAGACCTAGTCTCATTAGGCCACGATTTCTTCTGAAACCCCCTGTCACCACCCTTTCACTGGGCGTCCCTTTCGTCTCCTCCCAGGAGGGGGAAGAAGTGTCTTCTTCAGTATTCTTTCGTCCGTCATTCTTTGAATTACCTTGTATGTATTGAATTTTTAAAATGTTTATTTGTGATACTTTTCATGGAAACAATGCTGATATGATTCTTTTTTTGGATGTTTCAGACGGGGAGGTATGCCACACATCGGGGCCGCTGGACGGATCCCTGTACGCGACGGTGGGGAAGAAGGGCGGGCTCATTAGCGGGCAGCAGCGCTCGTCTTCCATGGACTCGGGGATCTCCTCGGCGGGGAACGTGCTGAACACGACGGGGAGCCAGAACAACGCGAGCGCGAGCAACGCGTCCTCATCGCCCCCGGGGGCCGACGCGGATCAGCACCGCCAACTCGAGGAGCTCCTCAGCAACATGCTCCTCACCGTGGAGAACATCCCGGACCTGCCCGACCTTGCGCCGCTCCCGCCTCCGCCCGCCGCCAACGCCAACTCGCGGACGCCCGAGCGCCCAGTCAGTGCCAGTCCCGAGTCGGCGCCAGACCGCGAGTCCGGCATCCGCTTCATCGACGACGATATCCCTTATCACGCCCGGCAGGACAGCCAGCCCTTCACCTACGGGGCCGTCCCCAATGAGGCCATGCTTCGCACCCAGATAGCCACCGGGCTCTCCAGCCCCAGCCTCGTCCGCAAGGCCAGTTTCAAGGATAGCCCGCCGATCCCGGCCCCTGTTATCACCAACGGGCATGGGCACCACAACGACAGGCAGGCCCCCGTCCCTCCCAGGGATTTCAAGAGGAGCCGAAGCAGCCATGCCGTCGCCTCGCCCCCGAGGTCGCCCGAGTTCCACGAGGGGTAAGTCCGAATTTTTATTAGTCTGATCCCTTTGGCTTCAGCAGGATGACAAGTTTTTGAAAGTTCAAGGGAAACGTGAACTAACCCTTTTTTACGTAACCGTGAAAAGCGAGGGAAAAATCAGGAAAAGTTACCATCCAATTTCTGAATGACTGCCGCACAGTGGATCGAGTCAGTGGGAGAGGTCGGCCATAATTTAAAAACTTTAAAAGCGTGTACCTATCTTTATTATTATGAAATGTTGATGTTTTAAAATTAGTTTCATTGGTTGTTTCGTAAAATTTTCTATTAGAGACATCCCTTAAAACAAAACTGTGACGAGTTAAACGTAAAATTATACAGTTTTTGTCAAAAATGTCATGTCCAACTTCTTCCAAAGACTCCATCCACTGTGTACCGGGAAAGCTTTAACTATTCGCTCCAAATATAGTCGTTTCCCCGACGAAGGAACGTAACTCTATACCAAGGTTGCCAAATTGACTCAAGCAATTCAATTTTTTCGTAGATTGTATTTGTGCAATTTTTATCCCAAATTTGCCTGATTTTTGCATGAAATCAAAAGAAAAATCAGTGAAATATTTAGTTAGAAATGCCCTGAATTCTCCCGGTGAAAATACAATTTGTGAATGGAAATTTGTCAACACTGAAGTAGTTATGTTCTCTCCTTGGGGAAGCGACGATATGTCTAACATGCAACATTTTTGTGCTTATGTTTGAAAATGCAGGGGAAAGTCTATCTTTTTTATCTTAAAAATTGAAAAATCAGAGACCTTGGCCGTCAAACCTCGAATTTTGATTTTTCGTCATTATATCTGAATGATTTTGATCGCGTCTATGTTATTCATCGGTGGAGCTTGAATTTCACACTGAATATGCCTCGTGTAGAGCATTTCCATGCCAGAAGTCCGTTTAATGTTGGGTGAAAAAAATGTTTTGTCAGTCAATTGTTATCTGAAACCTTGAAAAGCCAGGAATTGTATGAAATTAGGAATTTGTCATCCTGCATACCTAGCGTCTTATTTTCGTTTTCTTCGCTTAGGAAACTTACGCACACCGTAAGACTGTTGTATACTTTCACATGCCGATGTGTTTACTGAAACAGACGAAATTACGAATCTACAACGCGACGTCGTTTAAATTCTATCCCATTTATTCGTTTTCTGGGAAAAATTTAACGTAACGCCCAATTTTCGGTATTATGCATGCATGCACATTTGCTAAACATGCTCCCAGGAGCGTTTATTTTAGTTGTTCCTTCTGGAAATAACGTGAGCTGGGCTGTACTCGAAATATAGCTACAACGCAGGAATTTATTTTACGATCAAACAATGGATGCGTATAAAAACTGCATCTCAGCAATGAAAAGAAGAAAGTCATAAAATTGTCTGCTAAGTGAGCCGCTAATGTGGAGTGGATAAACATGCACATTGAGATTACAGGAGAAATCAGATTAGCGCTGTAACGAAGAAGGAAAAAAGTTCAATCCTTTGCATAGTAGCAGACATGTTTCTTTTTTTCTTCATTTAAAGTTGCATATTCTGACAAGACGTAAGTGAAATTAAACAATTTAAATAATTTTGGGATAGTCCGAAAACTCGCCCCAGAGCTATTACCAATGCTCTCAGGTTCGAACAGAAATAAACGGTCTTTTATTTGCAGTATTTGTTAAACGGGAATTTTATCAGCATGTTCGGTTTATTCGCCCACTTTTTCGAAAGATACTTGTGTCTGCGTGTCTCTACATGCTTAGTGCCTCTTGGAGGTGAAATTTAATCCTAACTAAGTTTTCCTCATGCAATAATGCACTTAACTACAAAGCGGATGCTGACAAAAAATCCGAAAGGAAAAAAAAAACCAGCACGCCGAACTCGAGCGTAAACGATACTACTAAAGGAGTACTTAGAATTTAGCCCAACAAAATCCTCGTTTTTTAAATTTTTCGCGACTAATACCTCGAAATATTTTAAATGCTCTAGCTGCGCCCCTTTCTAGGTTATCTTCAGCTTATTGGCGACCTGTGTTTTCAAATAAAATAATTTACATTAAGAACCCAATTTGCGTGTGACATTCAGGTCAGATCGTAAAATTAGTTGATGATCCGCCATCGAAAGTCATGAAAAGCTTTCCTTTTTTAAACTCCGTAACCGCAAGACATCGTCGTGATTGGACGTTCAAAGTAGAGTTTTTCCTTAATTACGGTTAGGATTCCAAAAAACGGTACAACTTAATCATTTCATTGCTTGCAAACCTCTGTTTGAAGGATTAGCCAATGAGGCACTTTAAGTTCAAGGCACCTTCCCCACGTCCCCAAAATTGACTCCCATAAAATGTGATTTTTCGCCCTTTGAATATACCACCAGATACTGTGCATTTTTCTTTAATTTTTCTTCCTCTTTTACGAACGACCAGGGCATAACCCTGTTTGCCATGCCATCTAGTAACGGTTTTCTCAGTTCGAGCTATGAAATTAATTGAGGCAAAAGTTATGTTCGGAGGTCAACACCATTTTTCGCTTGGTGATGATTAACCTGCAAATTTTTGAGCATTTTATCGATGAAATGATAGCTCATGCACATCGGACCAAGCAGGTTGCAAAGCAAGTTTGTCAAACCGAGTCTCGTTTTCCGAAAAAAGTTGCTCAACACTGGTCATCGATCATCATTGAACGGATCTGAGCGTTAACTTCCGAAAATAACATTAAGTCAGGAGGGAAGACAGTAGTGCGGGACATATAACATGTTTCCGTCTACCACCTTCTGAATTGGCTTCGCCTCTCCGCGGTTAAATTTGTCGTGGCAACGCCCATCTTTAAAAGAACTTGACTCACTAGAGCAGTCCCTACTTCACGGCATATTCAAATCAGTTCCTCGGAATCAGGTGACTAATAACGTGTTATTTCCGACGCTTTTTGGACTAATTTAATCAGAATCAGTTACATCAAACATTGCCTGATTGCTACCGTTATTCATTTTTTCCCGCAGCGAACTAACGAAAAGCTACATTATGACTTGGAATTTGGATCGCGTTGAGCAGAAAGGAACCAAGCCTCATCAGATATTGCCAAATTTAATCGGGCAATTTAATTTTCTACATGAAAACGATTGTGCGGATGTTTGTGCAAATATCAGTGAATTTTCTGCATAATACGACGGAAATTCCTCAACATTTTAAAAAAAAATCCGCACAAACGTTCTTTTGTAAAAAATTAAATTGCCCAGTTTTTGGGAATAGATGATGTGGCTTGGTTCCTTTCTACTAAACGCGGTCCATTTGGTTTTGCTCTTCTTAAAAAAAAAAAAAAAAAAAAAAAAAAAAAAAAAAAAAAAAACTAATAAAACATGATAGGAAGTTAGGCAACTGTTCAAACGCTTGCGGCAATTCTGGTTAAATCCGTCCAAATCGCCCCCTCAAAATAGGCGAATTCTAGCCCGCAGCAAGTTGAAACTGCAATTTTTTTTTACCTCTTTCGCTTTTCGTGCCATCCATCGGATGCCTGCATTGTTTATTTTTTTCCAATGCCATGAGTCTGCACTGCTCATCGCGTCTCCGTATACTATCATGGACCTTTGCCAGGCATAGTTCCCCGTGTCGAGTTATTATCAGATAGCATCTCCCAAGTTTTGCCCCCGAGCCACCCCCCGCCCCCGCTCGCCCTTATCAATACCCTCCCCCTCCCTCCGTCCATCCATGCCGCGCGGACATCAGCGCACCAACCTGGCGCTGAAATAGTGCTTACCGTTTATACATAATGTATAGATTTAATAATTGTATCCACACTTATCGCTGTGCGCTTGCCAACAATTCCTTTTTAACGCTCGAACGTGCCATTTATAAGGAAGATAACTGGTATTTGCACAGGTAACCTGTGCTTTGAAGTGTCGCGAGGAGCAAGTGTCGTTATCAACCGCGGCAGACTGATGACTTTCAGGATCGATGTGAATCGAACCACGTGTAAATGACCGAACTGATTTCTCAGTCTACGGGTTTCAGATTTCCTGTCCCTCTGGAAATATCGATCGTTGTGAATGTACTTTTGTTGGCTACAAATACCCGATCAATACAGGTGCTCTTGGAGTCGTTCGGATCCTTTGGCTCAAGGCCATAAACGACTGATTAGAGGCTAAATAGATAATTATCGATCGTTATCGCAAAGCAATTCAAGTCAATAAATGAGGGCAATAAACGAGATGGTTTCAAGTTTCGTGCCGGAGGAAATAAATAATTGGCTGATCTACTTTTATTTCTTAAACACGGTTCATTGCAACTGAATTCTCCTATTAAATGGTATAAGGAACAGGCCGAGATCTATACTCGAGTTGAGATTTCTAGCCAATAGAGAAGTACCCAAAAATGTTATGAATTTTTAACTAGCGCGCCCGATTTTTAGGGGTGAATAGGAAGAGGATCATTTCGGCCTTTCTTGGATGACAGAGCTTAACCCCATTCCAAGGTTGCAAAATTTACTCAAACAATCTAATTTTTTGCATGAATGTACTTGTGCAAATTTTGTCGAAAATTTGTCTGATTTTTACATGAGATCAGAAGAAAAATCAGTAAAATTTTCCGTGAAAATGCTCGAGGTTCTTCTGATAAAAATGCAGTTTGTGCGGGGAAATTTGGCAACATAGAAACGTATTTACGTTCTTTCGTTGTGGGAACGACGATTTGACAAAAGACGGCGTAATTTTCAGACACTTTAGATCAAATTACAAACAAAGTTATCTGAGAAATTGGCATAAAAATATTCAAAAATTTTCCTGAAAATTAGTGATTTGCCAGAGGAAATTTGGCAACGCCTGAAGGCTCATACGGCGTTCTTCCTTAGTACGGCAGTCTACGAGTAGTTAATCCGTGAACCAAATCAAGTGTCTTTTGTTTTCGAAAAGTGCAGCTTGTCCGAAATTGGTTACATGACGCCGTTTCACCGGAAGTGAGTGACCTTTACGCCAAGAAAACCAAGCGCTCCTATTGTAGAACGGTCGCGCAATTCGAGTTGTAGC